TCGTCTCCGAGAGTCATTAATCCTCTTGACATGTCCAACTTCAATCCAAACTTCACCATTATATCGGTTCCCAAAATCACGTCCTCGTCTATGTCGGCAACAAGTGCGCAGTGTTGAAACACGCAGCCGCCGATGTGGAAGGTAGCAACCGTCTGCCCATAGACCTGAGCCAGCTGACCTGTAGCTGTACGTAGAGACCATGATGTTGGTGAAATATCTTCCGTCGACACCGTGTTTGGATTCAGGATGGTCATAGTCGCCCCGGTGTCCAGAAGACAGCTTTGGAGACGCCCGTTCACTTTTCCGTCGACGTAGAAACTGCTCGACTGACTTCCCAGTGAAGCAACTTTCACACTTTTCCTCGGGGCTTTCAAATCGCGGGCTGACGGTTGCCCCTTTCCATCAACCCTCCTTAGTTTTCCTGCTTCGGTTCCGATGTGGTCGAAGGACATTTACTCCGGGGATGTCCCATCTGTCCGCAGCTCCAACAGCGTATCTGCCGGCGACGAGTTTTTAGTGCCTCCAGCACTCTCTTTACTAGCTCCTCGATGTCCAGTGGAGTTGTAGGTTCTGCGTCTGCCACGCGGACTCGAGCCTGGCCCCTCACCGACTGTCGCACAGCCTCGAACTCCAGTGCCTGTGTCAGTGCGTCACTCAGGGTCTTTGGTCTGGCGAGCTTCACTGCCTGTTGAGTCTCAGGTTCACGTAGACCGTCTAGGAATTTATCCACCGCCAAACTCTCGTAGACATCATCCGTGACCGATGGATAGGCGTTTCTCACCAGGCGAGCAATGTCGGCTTCAAACTCCTGGAGTGACTCGCTGGGCTTCTGGATCCGGTTCCGCAGCTGTGACCGGTAGAGCTGGTCCATATGTCGATTTCCAAACCGCATGTCCAATCTTCTCACTAATTCTGCGAAATTCTTCCTCTCCACCATTGGGATAGCATGCAGAACAGCTAACGCATCGCCCCGTAGTGCAAGGCACAGTGCTGAAGCCTTTGTCTCCTCGGTCCACCCATGAACCATAGCCGCTGTCTCGAAGAGAAGCATGTAGTCCTCCCAGGGAGTTTTACCATCGAAGTGAGGAACGATGTTCTGAGGGGCAACGGCAGCAATGGTGGGCGCTGGCTTGGAGATCGTTTCTATGACGTTATCCTGCTGAAGTTCGCCAGTGCTAGCCGATGACGCAGGTGTGAAGCTCCCCGATGCAGCCATTTCCTGCCTAAGCTTAACTAACCTATCTTCTAGATTTTTTTCTATACAATTAAATTTCTCATCCATTTCATTAATCCTACTTTCTAAATCATCAACTTTGCTAGAATACTCATCTAACTTGTTCAGCATTTTTGATTCTACATTCGACATTTTTGACTCAATGCTAGCTTCTAAGTTTTTGTTATTTTCTGACATTTTTGACTCTAATGCTTTACTGTTTTCTAATATTTTTGACTCAATATTTGCTTCTAGGTTTGACATTTTTGAATCTAATGCTTTGCTATTTTCTGACATTGACTCTAATGTTTTGCTATTTTCTGACATTTTTGACTCTAACGCTTTGCTGTTTTCTATCATTTTTGACTCAATATTTGCTTCTAGGTTTTTAAGCATTTTATTAAAATCAGATGTTTCAAATAAAACGTTATCTAGGTCTTCACCTGCATCAATTAAAGCTTGTTTAAGGCGTGCCTGAAGGGCTGATTTATTTCCACTAGTATCTAGATCTCGTTCTTCTAATTCTCTCCTAAGATCGACTACTTTTAACTCATCAAGTTTCACACCTTTGAAAGCCATTTTTATGCCGAACAATTAAACTAATTTTACAATAAATGATTTCTATTTTTTTTGACAACGCAATTTTAACAATAGCAATTAATTAACTATTACTTTTTAAACAAATTTGTGATACAAATTACTAATGTTTAATACAACTAAAATGTAACTCAATACTTTACAATTAAAATCGCCAAAATAATGCCGCTTTCTGACACCAATTGTTGCGGGCTTAGCAGGTTCTTTACAAATAAAACTTGGCGATTTTAAAATAGCTATTTGATTTACACTAATATTCTGTATTTACAATAATTACCATTTCCTAACACCTAACTAACCCTATCTAAACCTAGCTAAAGCCTATTCTAATTTACAATGTTTCTACTTACAGCTAGCCTCTACAGGATTTATCACTACTTCTGTTACAACACTGTCACTACACTGTCACTAGAGACACTACACTGTTACTGTTACTCTCACTGTCACTAAACTGTCACTGCCACTAGCACTAGCACTGGTCACCGACGGGCACTTGGTGCGACGATTCTCGGAAGGCTCAACTCAACTCAACTGCCGTGTGCTGGAAGACGGTCCCTTATATAAGTTTGTCGTGGAACATTCTAGAGTGGAGAGTTCGAGCATCCGTTGTTTACAAACCGGCGTAGAAGTAGAAGGTTCTAGGGCCCCTATTGAGGTAGTCCGTTGACATAGGTCTATTGTCTATCAGTGGTGCGTTCTAAGAAACCCGTGTAAACAAACAACCCTTTTGTGACGGCGCCTGGCTATTGTTGCGCGGGGCTCCTGACTTGTAACACTATTTATTCTGAAACTAGCTGTAACTTTACATGGGAATAAAGCATATAGTTCTGTTTCGATGAAAGGTTCTATATATCAATATTAATAAATATCCATACAAATTACAATGAAAGTTTTCAAAAGTTGGAATCATCAAAAATCAAGTGAATTATACCTTTTCTACGACTAAATCATACTATGTTTCACACTTAGTCTAACGTAACATATGTATAATTTTCAGGGATTTAAATATTTTTGAATGTGACTCTTTAAAGGTATTTAAATTCCGCGTTAATCATTTCCTATTCAGTTTAAATATCGACGAGGCAGTTTCTATTATCACGGCGGACTTACCGGCGCACTTGATCCGACCTTTGCATTGACTAACATTGGCACTTTGGACTGTCCGCAGTCGAATTTACTACTCTCCACTCCACTCATTACCCTGCAATCCACTCATCACTCTCCACTCTCTTCACTACCCACATTACACACGTAAACAAACACACACACACACACACACTCTCTCTCCCTCTCTCTCTCTCTCCTGGCCACCACGAAAATCTATTAAAGCGCTAGCTCACCAGCACTGTGTTCGTGGAAATGCCATTACTTATTTCACTAATAATAAAGACCTATTGTCTTTTTAATTGCCATTCCACAAAATCAATATTTCCCCTTTTGTTTCTATACGCACAGGTAGCACTGCCTATGTCTGCTAGTTCCTTTGTTTTGTTGTAAAATTTTTAGGCTATTAAAACTCTTATGTATTTTTTGTGACAAAAGTCTCTGTCTTATATATATATATATATATATATATATATATATATATATATATATATATATATATTATAAGTACAGTTTCTAGCCAATGTTTTTTGGAATAAACTATATACTCATTCATTCATTCATTTATTCATTCATTCATTCTAGTGTTTGAAGAGGAATAATCAGGCGTTAATGTACACAGGTTCGTTTTTAATATCATATGTACTAAATCATCGTCTTGTCTTTTGCACGGATAGCACACAATTGCCAAAGATTGTGTAGTTTCAATGGTTGGGAATGATACGAGTACTTGTGCTGCTCAAACTTTAATAATTTTATAGATTAAGTTTTGAAATTCCCCAATACCCACGTTTCCGAATGTTATTAATTTTGTAATTCAGTGTTTCTAAATTCACTAAAAAATTACTAATAAATTAAAGCATCGTGGTATGCATGAAATACGATAAATGTTGTTTATTTTATAAGTACAGTTTGTAGCCAATGTTTTGGAATAAACTATATACTCATTCATTCATTCATTCATTCATTCATTCTAGTGTTTAGAGAGGAATAATCAGGCGTTAATGTACACAGGTTCGTTTTTAAATCATATTTACTAAATCATCGTCTTGTCTTTTGCACGGATAGCACACAATTGCCAAACATGTTGTATTTTCAATGGTTGGGAATGATACGAGTACTTGTGCTGCTCAAACTTTAATAATTTTATAGATTAAGTTTTGAAATTCCCCAATAACCACGTTTCCGAATGTTATTAATTTTGTAATTCAGTGTTTCCAAATTCACTAAAACATTCCTAATAAAGTAAAGCATCGTGGTATGCATGAAATAATATTAATGTTGATTATATTGATTTTAATTAAGCTAGATATTATCTACTCTCGACAGGCTAAAATGTAAATAAATATCGAGAATATTGTTTCTGCGATGAATATTAAACGAGGAAAAGCTTAAACCGCATGTCCAATATCTGTTACATTTCAATAAACTTTGTTTATACAAATACTTAATATAGCTTCAACATATTAATATACTATATACAGGTTGTCCCGTAACTCTCTTGACACATGTATATAGTGTTATTGCATTGATCACGACAAAAACATTTCTCTGTCATTATTTATTCATTCTTAACTAATAAGGTATCATTGAAAACTACATAAAATGTACTAACTTTTTTGTCTCATGCACTTTTTTTAAGTTAACGGTTTTTGTGAAATTTCGCATCAAATATTTTAAATGGTTGCAATTTTGATACGGCTGGTGATTTTTTAGTATAATTTTAAATGAAAATAGGTCTTAATAAGATATAGATTTTTATATTTTAAGGGTTAACAGCAAAATTAATGCTGTCAGTGTTTCGATGAACACAGAATGTTCGGTAAGTAATGCTTGCTACTATAACTGAAACGGAGAATAGATGTTATGTTCAATCAGATAATGAAAATTCTAACAACCAAAACCTATTTATGATTACCTATAACTTGTGCTTTACTTAGACTTGGCTCGGGGATGAAGAAAAATTAAGACATTACTAAGATACTAGAGATGGTTATTGTTAAAACTTCAAGATAGCCAGAAAATTATTTTTATAACTTCTTCTTTCAATTTATTTTACTAACTTTTGGATTTATGATTATTTCAGGCAGTTTGGAGTATGAAGATATGTGACGCAGAGTCTCAAGGTCTATTGTTATCAAGTGCTTGAAAAATAGGAGACGAAATTAAACATGAAAGGTAAAACTGTTTGGAGTGAAAGGATAACCGAATTTCACTCTAATTGCATTACACTGTCAAGACTGTGGTCGTGTAATTGTGTTTCTTGTCTTTACCTGGAAATTCCGGAAAAACCAAACACAAAACCTAAGCTGAATTAAAAAATACCTATGAAAAACTGTACAGTATACTCAAAACTATAAAGCCTTTAGTTTTGTTTCAGTTGTGTTATACCAACGTTTTATGTTGTGGATATGTTTACGTTAAATAAACCCTATCTACATTACTTTACGTATTAGGCCATGTGACATTGAATTTATGTAAAATACCACTACAGGATAAAAATAATAAAAATAAAGTTATACAAGAGTACCTGCATTTTTCTTCCCATCATTAAAGTATAGTCATCAATTATTTTAAATAAAGAAAACATACATTTTTTAAGTACTCGTAAATGTTTACTTCTCAAAAGTTCTTATGCTTAAACTCCTTCCCATAGTTTTTATGGCAACATCAACTCAAAGTTGCTCAACTAAAGTACTAATCTTCAAGACTTATCTTCAAGTTGTTCTTAAATCATGGGTAAAATTGTGCCTCAAGACGTTAATGTAGCACTTCAGTGTAACTTCGAGATAAAATTTCATCCCTTAAAGTATTCTGAAGATACTAAAAGTTAAAGAGTAATATTTTTTCAGAACATGTTTCTTTCTCGTCCCAAGTCGAAGGGAAAGTTTGCAAGTAGATCACGGAAAGACGCATTTTTCTGACAACCAATTTCGTGCCAAACGCCTCCACTTCTTCTTCCTGAGATATCGTCTTGACCGACATTAATTCCACGTTTATTTATTCTTCTTCAAAGTTGAGTCTCAATTTATTATGTGAATTGTAATTTTAAAGTAATGAGAGTGTTTATAGAAAGGTGTTTCTATTTATAGGCCTACCATGAATCAATTTTGTTTTCGTGATGGAATTCCAATTGTAATAGCGATATCATTCATCTGCTGAAACATGTTAGGTAGTTTTCATAAAACAATAACTAGGTCAGTTAATAGAAAAGATTTCAATTTGCTATATTTATATTATTTTTAAAATATGTATTGTATATCCCACACATTTTAGGGTCAAAAATGATTCAAATTTTTAATCGTACAACACAAACACTGAATATAAACAACATGGTGTTAAATATAAACAGAATTAGTATTTAATATTGACACTGCACTTAATATAAACATAGGTACATTATTGGAAAGTATAAACGAGATGAAACTTTGAACCCATATTTACGAGTTTATGCGCCTCTTCTTGCATCCCATATATTTTTATTACAACATTTTTTATTTTATCTGATAATAAATTATAACAATTATTTTCAACACTATATTTTGTATATTCAACACTATATGGGCTGTTCGGCTATTAGTAAAAGTCTCGCACTTGGGTGTGATTTAAACGGGTTCAAATCCCGGCATACCCCGACAATATTTAGGTGTTTGAACCAATTTTGCACAAGATCATTTAATATCCCTACTACAAATGCTACTGACCTTAAAACCAACAATTAATATATAATGAAACTTTGAAAACAAAAGAGACTACTTTTACCAACGTTTAATCTGAATGAAATAATATTACCACTATGTGAACAAATATTTTATAAGTTTTATTTACAAACTAATGAAGAAGTGTGCTGAATCATAACATAGTCAAAACTGAACATTTTTAACAATCTAGCAACAGCTGTTACATAATAAATCTCAAAAATATATAAAATTATAAATGTGAAAGTTTGTGTCTTTGTTTGATTGTTTGTTTGTTTGTTTATTTGTTTGTTTGTTTGAAGTTCAATCACGCATTAACTACTGGACGGATTGGGCTGAAATTTGGCATGATGCTAGCTCATATTCCCGATTAACATATAGGCATATTTATATCTCAAAAATCCTTTCGGGCTCCACCCCAGTGGCTCTGTAGTTCCCCATGTTAACCTTATGAGCATTCATATTTAAAGGGTATTAAAGAATTTAGTCATCTGTTTTAACTAAAAAAGTTGGTTCTATGATATGCAAAAGTATTAAAAAGTTACAAGATTTACCATCAGGGTGCAGCACTATTATTGTTTTGCAGTTATGAAAACAGCTAAAATGAATTAAGCAGCGACGAAAAACTGTGAGAGGCAATGAGAACTGTCAAAGTAGTATTGTTTACAGTTATGTTTATGTTTTTATAATTGCATGATTAATTTGTGATATTTTGCAAATTTTTTATCATTTATTTTTCTCTATTGTTTAGGTGAAGTGGTAGAACATTGTGGCTATGGTATATGTGTAATACTATAGTATACCGTAAATTTAAAGAAGCAAATTTGATAAAATTGTGTCCTCCCCAACTACAAACGCTAAGTTGGAGAATAACTCCAATAAGCATTTTACACCTGTATGCAAACCCCGTACGAAGGACGGGTACTCTGCTAGTATTAAATAAAGTATAGACCAAAGGCATCACAGATGTGGCTAAGTTGACGCCACATCAGCCTTAATTTCAACTTCCATAATATCATTATTTCCTCTAACAGGGCTTACTTGAGTCAACATTAGTGCACTAAACAACTTTTACAGGTTCTCAAAGTATCACCATTAAGAGCAGAGTAGGCCTGCATTTCCATTAAAGAGTCTATTTGAGTGAGCTCTTGCTGAGGCCATTATAAACCCAAAAGAAAGCTTTTATCGTAGGTCGACCAACAAACGATCAACAGGAGCATTTGTGGTTAAAGCAATTCAGGCTTGTATTCATGGCTGTGAAGAAAGAGCTAAGAGGTTGATGTGGTATACAGTATTTAACCATACCTGTGCACTGTTTACTTTTGTTTATTAGTTATGTATAATGCATCATAGGTTTGTATTTCTATTAGAAACTTAGAATTTGAGTAACACGCTGTAATTTATATAGCGCCCACATTATTTCTGAATGTTAAAAACCGTATACCATGGTTAGGATATAAAATAACCACAAAACAAAAGCTAAATATTAGAAAGGCTTTGTAATAATCACTCTTCAATAAGATTCATATATTATTATTAAAAATTAATATTAAACTGTAATTCAATAGAATTATTGATTAGAAATGTTTTCAGAAATTACCAAATTTATAATATTTGTACGACTTTTACCAACTTTCCAATGCTGATGCAATATTTGTCACAAATTGTGGTAGGGTAGGATATAGCTTTCAACATTCAGAAAACCTTATTTGGAATTGAATAACTTCTTATAAGTTGAGTATTAATTTGATTCTACGAAATGAATATTTAATAAAATATGGGTATTTAGCCCCTGCAGCCTCACTTTGGAATCACCCCTTATTTTAAAATATACAACAACCCATATTCTGAAGGCATATATTATGTAGAGAAACGAAAGATAATCCTAATAAAATTGTAGTCCTTGTACTTAATGGAACAACACTGCTATAAATGTGCAGGTGGTAGGACTATTATAGTTGTAATTAAAACTTTCTAGCTTGTTTATTAATTGCTTTAGATGTTTATCAATAGTCACTTTTACGTAGGAGAACTCGGATTCTCAATTGCAGAAGAGATATATTCAGAGTCGATTGCTTTGTTTTCTGTTAAGTGCTGTTTGTTGAACAGCTGACAAGTACTATATCAGCTGATTGGCTATTGACTACAACACGAAAAACTAATTGCTATTTACATTTGTATTCAATAAACTTGTTTATAATTTGTTTGGAAAATAATAAATATTGATAAACTGGGTATTTTAAGAATATTGAGTATAAGTATGAATAAATACAAGAATAACGAATGTGGTATAGTTCAATATATTGGTGTTGTAGTATGAGGTAACTTCTAAGAATTTAATAATTAGTGACAAAATACGTTGCCCATTGTTCTTCATTGTGGTCATCAATCCTTATTCGCTTCTAAAATGTGATACTTACACAATTTATTTCATTTAACCATTATTTATTCCATTAAATGTCAAAAGTATTTCCTAGCTTTTAATGAAACTGTTTGACTGTTAGAAATAGTGAATAAGTAATTCTTCTAAGATGTATTGACATCGGAAGAAATTTTACTTTTTTGTGTGACATTAATGTATGCGTGTGCTATTCAAAACAATGAGTTAAAACTATTTGGCTTGAATTTTCTACACGAAAATATCAGTGTAGTTTACTTTACAGAGTTTATCTTGTATAGGCCTAGGCCTAATTTTGTGCCAATAACTATGAAAAAAACTGCTGAACTACAATTACTTCGCAAAACAGTTTTTTTTTATGTCATCGTACTAATATTTGGTCTATAGGGTCTATCAAAGGGTTTCTTCATGTATTTCTAGTAAATACGAACATGTGCTGTTATTACATGTTATTTGTACTACTCCAACAACAAAACGATAAATTTTATATTTTATAACTGAAATTCTTTCACAACTTATCTGTCTAAATATCTAAAGGGGTGCACGAGTGAATTGCACAACTTTAACACTAAGATAACCACAATTTAATTTTTTATAATTATATGATAATAGAATATTATTTTTTTTATTCTAGAGTCTTTTTTTATCTACAAAAAGATTTTACAGCTGTAACATAATGGACTCGACCAACTTATTCTTTCTTATTCTAGGACGAAGATAGCTACTTCCACCCTACAACGCATTTATAGCAGTTGTTTTTTTATCACAAACCACCTCTTACCACCTCTAGTATTATATCTAAGAGATAAAAATGCACAACCATGTCAACTATAAAAGTCATCATAATTTGAAGTACACCTAATCTTTAGTACACTTTATTTTTGTGCAGCCATAATCTAATCCTCGTCTCAGTTCCTCAACAATCATAAAATCAACCAACATGTCATAACCTGAAAACATATTTTTATAACACCTCCCACGCATTAACTAAACATATGAACCAATTTTGATGCGTCAGCCGATCAAAGGACTGCCCAATGAAACAACGCGTAAGTCAACAATCGAAAATAACTTGTGAAGAAAGACAGCAAGGGCTCGCCAATGGACGGGGCCCAAGGTCCTCAACACGTCATGCAAGGTTAGGTCTGACACTGGGCTTAGCTTCAGTTGAACCATAGCTGCACTCCCATTACCTTAATATATGCCTGTACATGAATAGTCCCTTCCGGGTATAACCAGGTATGTGAAATTAATAAATTGATACAGCCCTACTATTTAATGTGATATTTTTTTACTTTTTTATTGCATGAGAATTTTTGAAATGAATTTAGATAATTGAGTTATGTTTTCACCAAAATGCTGTCTAAATGAGATTTCTTACCAGCACATGCCACATGAATGTTTGTTTTATGAAATTGAAGGCAAAGCCTTATATTAGTCAATTATTGGTTGGTGAAAATTAAAATCAATATTTGTCATTATTATGGAAACAATGATATTTTTACTAGGTCAAGGTTATGTTCAACATTAATAGTCTGAAAATACAGGATGATTCTAAATTATTATCTTTTTTGAATCTCTATTAATGGAAAAAAAATGTACAACCTATCATCAAGAACAAATAAGGTAAAACTCAATTGAAAGAGGGGATTCTAAAGTTTAGTTTAACACAACTTTGGTAAACATAGTTGCAGAATTATCCTCTACTGACATTTTTATATTTTTACTACGATTTTAAACTAGCTAAATCGTAAAAATATATTACATTTGTTAATCTCTTCATTAGAATCCATTTGTTTCATATCAACTGTTGTTTATGAACAAATGAAGAAGGAATTGTTAGATATTTCTTCTGACAGTTTACTAGAAGTTAAGACAGTGAAACTTCCCAAGATAATTACATATTATTCAATTTATGGTTTATATAACTAGCTACCTACTGTAGTTAATTGCAGAGAAAGCAATATTTTTTAACTACGTAAAGTCAGAATAATTCAATTCAGATTTGTGATATTGATTGTTGTATAAAAAAACCTTAGCTCTTAATTAAATCTACTAAAATCTTTTGTAGATATGAATAGGCTATACATTTAAATCTGAAATTTTAAATAATGACAGCTTTTCCGTAAATAGTTTAATGTCGATTCCATAGGCAAATATATGTCGTACCTATTACGTCCAGAGCAAATTTCTAGAAATGAATTGTGATCAACAAAACCCGTTTACATTTCCACTATGTTCATGTCTGTCTTAATTTTCTTAATCTTTTGGTTCTAATTTTTTTTATTTCACGTTCTATAGTATACATATAAAACAATAGGCGAACATTCGCCTGTTGGGTCTGATGATGATTTAGTGTCCAATCGAAAAAAAAAATCGTGTACGCAATTTTTCACGTGGGAATAAATTTCTTTAGTGAATAACTAGCAGTCAGCATCACTTCGTGACTTCAAAATCCGTAATATATTTAATAGTTGATACGGGTGAAAACTATTATTTCTCATCATATCCCTGTTATTTGCATTGCGTGCCTTATTATTTTCATTGCGTGCATGACCTCTTCGAGGAATATTAAAACATTACAAATTTAATTTAAATTTTAAATTTTACAAACTACATTTTCTTCTTTACATTTCAAAAAAATAACAATAACAAAGTTTTAGTTGAATTCACTAAAACATCACTGCTGTAAGAATGTGAGATAACCCCATTTTTCGCTTACAATGAATTAGTGAATTCGCCGATCTGTAGAATCGGGTTAACGCATGGAAATCATCTCCAGATTCGGATGATTTCCATACTGGTTATAAGTATCTACACACCACCTTCCTCCGAGTAAGTATCTACTTACCTCCGAGGTTTTTAACCCTCGGAAAACCCTTATGAGGTTTTTGGCCTCGTCATAGAATCGCCTACATTCTCTTCTACCTGCCTCTACTAATGCAGACTCCACTCTGGAGATGTCTTTAGATAGGTCTACTTGGTCTTTATACCTCATTTTTGGTCCTTCAAGTGTGTGCCTGCCTAGTAGTTCTCATTGGAATACAATTTTAACGAGCTAATTATATTCTCTCTCCCTCACGTGGCCTGTCCAAATTAGCACCTACTTTTGGCCTCCACCATCATATATTTTTAAGTAAAATGGTGTTTAGATGTTTTACCTCAACCTTCTGTTTTTCGTATCCTCCAACCTTCGTTATCTTGAACGGTTTCATATATATTATTTCATAGGACTATTCCCAAACATAATAAGCTTTTTTGGTGTCACTGGTCTGTCTCTGAACAAAATGGTAGTACGGGGTTAATTAATTATGGTATAGCTATAGTATAAATTTACTGTGGTTTATCTTGCGCCATTTGGACTAAAACAGTTTTTCTAGAGACCAAGATAGCACGACTTTACAGATTTGAAATTCAATTTACATCCAAGATTTTGACATAACTACGTTATAACATTTTAAACATTAAGAAAGACTAACTATCAACATGTTACCAACCTTTTATAATGTATATTATTTAAAACATTACTTCAAATCTTTATAGTATTTTTTATGTTATTGTAATATGTAATAGTATTATTATGTTCACACAAATTATAATTACGACAATACATTACATGAAACATTATGGAATTTGTTCAAAATACTGTAACACACTTTTCGGAAACGTAAATCCCTTACGGCAGGAAAAAGAGCCATGTGGTCACTTTTTACAGTCACTTAGTGTGGTCATAAAAATAACCAACGATAAATATTTTGCAAACAACTTAAAAGTAAATATTTCAGTAACAGTTTGCAAAAAGAAACCCACTGTTCGTTAAACTAAATTGCACCGTAACAATCTTAAAATGTTATCGTCACCTGCTGGACTTTTGCAAAATTAAATTTCAATTTAAAAATAGAAACCCAAAATTTAAGTTATGGTTTCCACATTCCCTTCGTCTCAATATTATCTTTTTTTAAACAGAAGACTCAGGAAAATACGTTAAGTGGCTGATTCTGAATGTACGTTCAAAAGCTCCTTCGTTTTAATATATAAAGTTTCTAGCAACATATTAAATACCACTAAATAAACGTGTCTTTTTATTTTACAAAAAAAATTGTAACCAATTTCATATACATTAATGACAGATAAATCACATTGGAATCCCAGTTTGGCAATCCTACACCATTATGTGTGTAACAGTTTTAAACAATTCTATGTGCATTAGTGACAGATAATGAGACAGAAGTCGCATCAGTATCCCAGCTTGCCAATCCCTAGGTTTACCTCGGATCAAGGATCAATTAGTGAAAATCCCCGCTCAGATTCTTGGCAGGACGCTGGTTTGGCAGCTTTAGTTCCGCTAGGATTTGATTAAACTTCACCACTGTGCCAAGCCAGCCTGTCCCCCTCTCCTAGAGCTGTTACTGATATGTTTAAGTCATACTTCAGGAAAAAAACTTATATTTATGCTGTATATGCGTTGCGATGCTAGTTATTTTTTCCTCTAGAAAGGAAGGGATCTGTTTGAGTCAAGTGAATCAACTTTTTACATTTGAGAGGTTCATCCGCTGATTTTGCCTAAGAAAATAGTCACGATTAACATGACCAAGTTTTTCATATTGATAAAGATTTTGTTTATTTATGAACTTTTTATGCAATAAAAGGTTAAATTACCTGTGTAAGTCCTTGTTCTTCCCCATTGGGTGCGTCTTGAAGTTTTGAAACACGTACACGAACGATATTACACTTAGATACATTACGATTAAAACATAAAAATACACGGTAGGCCTACTTTTATTTGAGCTATTACGGACATGTACTAGAACATGTGCTAGAACAAGGACTTATATTAGGACTGATGATGGCAATTTATTCTGACGAAATGCATCTCCTGTAATAGGACACAGCACAAAAGGATCGACTGGCGGACACAGGTAATTTAACCTTTTATTGTATGTCATACCGATCCGGAATAACAAAAACATAAAATGAACTTTTTATGGTATTAAAATTATGTTATACAGTTACCATACTTTATTGACTTTCAGACACATTAAAATGAAAAAAACTTCACTAATAAACCATAATGTTGTGTTGGAGTAGACATACTTATTACATCTAAACAAATGTAACGTAGAAATTCAAAAATAAATAAAAACGACTTTTCGTATATCTGTTCGCTACATCATGACCAAACCAACAATAGCTATTGTAAAGATTAACAATATATGAAATTTGTGTTTTGTGAATTAATCTTTTAATGAATGGTTCAGTATGATGAAGGTTACTGTAGAGTGGACAAAAGTTACCTTTTGATCATCATTTTCCAAACTTGACCTTGAGCAAATGAGAGGCGCTTTAGATCCAGTACAAAATATTATATTAAAATGAAATAAATGTTGGCTCATTAAAATTATACTAAGAGTAGTACAATCTATATAATTAAAATAATTTGTTGACTTTGTGTGTGCAGCAAATCGATCCCTAAATATTTATTTATATAGGCATATTTGGTATTAATTAAAGCACTTGACCTCTAAATGTGCCTTTTGCCAGTTTGGATGGTATCCCAGTAAAGCCCTTCGTCCTACAATAGGCTTTTGACATTTCAGAGTTTGTGTTTAATTATGTTGTCAGTCATCTGAACTTTTTCAAGTTTACATTTTGTTTACATCAAAACAGATGGCAATGAAAGATTTTTTTTACATCCATATATATGTATATAGTTGGTAAAAGCTTAGGTTGCCACGTGATATCTGTTTACTACATGCTTTTTGCGTCAAAAATTACCTCAGAATTCGTAAGTTAATGCGTGTGTAGTAATGTTTTCATCTGCATCTCACAAAAGTTCTGGCTCAATTGTTTAGGTAGCTGAGTTGTTTAAGTGCTTCCCTTCAATCCTGAAGGTTGCTGGTTGGATTCCAAGCGAGGTCGTTACTAGAGACAGATGCCATTGCCCATTAGGCTAACTGTTAATGATACCAAAAGGTCGATGTTTAAAAATAACAAGAACAGGGGTAGGGCCTTTCCTCTACGAAAAACTTCTAGAGATGCAAATTCGTATTAAAATTCATTTTGTTAGGAGTTTACCAGACGATGCCTGAATAGGCGAAACATGTTGTGAGTTTGACTACCACATTAGAACTGTTGACGTAAAGGTATGTACCTCATATTTGGCCAATTCGTAGACAGAAAAAAAGTTCTAAATCCGCCGTTCGGATAAAACCCCGATTTAACCAAATTAGTACTTTATT